GGCTTATATGTTTTAGATGTATGACAAACTGACATTTATCATACAGGGCGAATTCTCAATGTATTTATTCAAATGTATCCATTTTTTCATGTTTATAATATATCTGAGAATATTCCTTTTCAATAGGCTTATATATTCAAACAAGAATGATATGACCAGATTTGAAATATTATGGGGAGGAGTGTGATGTGTTCAGCATATTGAGATGAGCATGGGTTTCAAATACGGAGAATGTGAACAGAATACTTTTATGGTATCATGCCAATTAGGATTCAACATGAATACCCAAAAATATGAACTGATTCCAAAACCAAATATTGAGGATTTCGAATGAAGAGTTTGGATATAAATATAAGTTTATCACTGGAGAGAGAAGGAAATACAAATTACGAAACGAAGTTTCTTATAAGAGGACGTAGGTGTAAGGTCAGACAATTTGCTAAAGTTATTGGTATGATTACATCTACAGAACTTGCCGTTGAATATGGCTGGTCACCTCAGAATATGGAACGAGAAACACATGATGGCGTTTCCACGAATAGGCGAAAATATGAGGTAGTAGTTCTATATCATTCACAAGGCGACTCCAATCGGTGAATGATTCATGTGAAGACGAGTGAGCAAACTTTTTTGACAATGTCGTTTGATACAGAATTTTTTCTGATGCATCAAATATTGGTCGGATAGCGAACTACGCAGAGAAGACGTCTCACGGCAACCGGAATGAATGAGAAAAACATTTTCACATATATTCCTAGAATCATTAGCATCTCTTTATTTCTCGAGATGTTTTACATAAATGGAATCAAGTTTGGACATATCATCACAAATGAATATCACAGCAATGTCTAGTATCAACAGAATGGGGAGTGTGAAAGATAGAAATCTAAATAACATCTTTAGAGACGTGTAGAGTCCTTTCTTCCTGAGGCCCTTACTTTGGCGCTTGTTGAACAGACTTCTGGAACTTGTCGGGGTGTCTCAAGCTCTAGCTTGTTCATGAGGTGGTTCACTTCACCTGCTCTGCACAAAAATAATTTTTTACAGAAGCCCAAAGTAGCACAGTGAAGAAGACACAAAGGGTGTCTAGTGAACCAGGGGTCAGTGTTGTAGAATTGACCTGAAATCATGGGGCTGAGAGACTGTAGGCTTCAAATACAGCCCCTTGGGAAATCCTGGAATACTAGGTGCTGTAGATGGATGTTTCTAATTGACACTTTCACTCTTGAGTTGAATTCATACTATCCCAATACTAATTATCAATATGGTTTCTGGAATGGAAATGAGTCTCTATTTGTTATCAGGATGGGAAGTTCAGAAGCACATAGACATGTCGAGTACAGGTTTATTCAATTCCTTTTTCAGTGCATCAGTTGTCACATGAACTTCAACAAGTAAATAAAGAATCGATAATTGATACTTCATACATGATACATGTTTATGTAATTAAATTCATCTTCCTATCGACATACGACATACGGAAAGATGAACTTGACAACTGACGTACGACTGGCAGTCCCGAAGAATAGTTTGTTCCACTGGGCGTATGCAGAACACCTTAGATCATTGAATTTTCGAGTAGCATTAGCGAAGGTCAGTAAGGGTTGTTGGGCTGTGTGCACGTGTATATATAGCAAAAAAGGTAAGTGTTGTTTTTCGTGCAAGATAATTGATTCAAATTTATATTCATAGCAGAGCGCTTCCGACTGTTGAGTCATCATCAGTGCAGACCTGTAGTAATCGGCTTTCAGCTATTGTAAAGAAATTTAAAATTCGAAAAAAAAATCCAGAAAATTTTTTTTTTCTTAGAATTTTCTTTGAAAAATTTGTCTGGAAATTTGTTTATTATTGAAAAAAAGGGGAAATGAATTGGTGACTTGTTACTTGTTGATAAACTCTTGATTTTGGAAAATACATCACCATAAAATCGAAATTTGAAATAGTTAAATATGAATTTGGAGATTGATAAAAGTGAGGTTACTCACCCGTCAGGTTAACAGGGAAATTTGTCCATAAAAATATCTCTGGTTCAGTTTGAAACTGACGACATTATGGTAAAATGCGGTACACATTTTAATGAGTTCGTTCCGTATTTTACCATAATGTCGTTAGTTTTAAACTGGACCGGAGATACTTTTATGGAAGAATTTTCCTGTTGACCTGATGAGTACGTGACCTCACTTTTATCAATTTCCAAATTCATTGTCAACTTTTTCCGATTTCATGATAATTTTTTTTCTTCAAAATCAAGAGTTCATCAACAAGTAACAAGCCACCAATATATTCATAACTTTTTTCAATATTGAACGAATTTCCTAAACAATTTTTCAAGAAAAAAATTTTCCGGAAAGTGTTTTTGAATTTTCAATTTCTTTTCAATAGCTGAAAGCAGATTACTTACTCACAGGTCTGCACTGATGATGACTTAACAGTCGAAAGCGCTCTGCTACGAATATAAATTTGAATAAATTATCTTGCACAAAATACAACACTTTCCTTCTTTGGTTAGCAAAAGTTAGGCAGCAGGCAAGCAGAAAAGCGAAAAGAAAAAATATGCAAGCAGGAGGATATATGTCGTTGACTCAATCAAGCAGGAAGAAACACAGGCAGGATATATGAGCAGTGCAATAAAGAAAATACCAAGTCCGGAAAGCGAGGACGAGTGCAGGTTTAGTGTAGAAATGAATCCTGTTGAGTTCAATTCAACCAAGAAAGGTGATTAGCTTTCTTCTTGTTGGCTTGGCTTATAACACAAGCACCCCCGAGAAGTAGCAGAATAAATGCTGAAGGCCTGGGGCGGGTCAATCAGGCCCGGTCTCTCTGTACAGACAAAAGAGTCCGCTACCTAACTCATCCGATTTATGACACTGGATTCAACTGAATTCATGATCATTTTCAGAACAGGATTCGTTTGATTAATTCTTACTCTAGTACTTCAAGTACTGGATCTTTACTGTATGTCAAACTCTCGTCAACTGTTAACTTTCTCGTGTCAATGAATTCTGTCAATATTGTCAATGGAATTCAATTATGTGAATGATTGAACTGGTCCTTGATAGACTGGAAATATTGATTGATTTTCGATTTTAATGAATTGTTGAGAAAAATAGCAAGCAAATTCGAACTAAGTTCTAATTGAAAAATCTGAAACACGAATTTGAATCGAAATAATAGTCAGAACTCAAGTTGATAATCAACTGAAAACTGAAATCGATGTACAAAGAAATATAGAAGTACTTACAGGACTGCTTAATACACAACCGGAAGATCACTTTTCAGAATTACAATACCGAACTGGACTCTGAAATCGCAGACGAGTAGAAAAGATTGAGCGCCCTGTAGTCTGCGGATTTATACACGAGTGAGACCTTGGGCCACTCAATCAAGGACATTTGGTGTTCTCGCTGCTGATTGGCTCATACTCCAGCCGAGTGGAGCCGCCGTTTTGACCTCGTGAACTTGCGGTGCGTCAGAATTTGGCTTTGAGAATCAAAATTTTGCAAAGAAAATCATTTTCTATATCAGAAGGGCCTATGAACAGGATCAGGTACCATTGCTTTTGCGACTGAGCGAATTTGAATCAAAAATATTCCAAAATTCCGGAGTTAGATGCAAGGAGAAATGTCTGACCACATAGTCTAGTCAGATCAGTCGAACATCCAATATTTTCAGTAAATGACTATGTATTCCCTCTGGAAAGAACCAGGAAGTTCCATTGACTTATCCAAATACTACTAGAGCCTCTTGAGAACTTCCTGTTAGTCATTAACCCTATTAATTAATCCCCCATTAATCAAGAGATATAGCGCTCCTATATCAAAGGAAGCTTTCCTGATACTTTCTTAGTACTAGAAACATAATTATGACCCAGATTCAAGTAGGAATGTGTGTAATGGGTCGATTATCTTCATGATCAGCTATCAGTCGAACATAAGCAGGTGAATACCTGGTTATTAATGAAATTTGCTCACCGTGTATCGTGTCGAACAACTGATTCAACTGAAATCTATGTCCGAAATTGGAATATAAACGATGAGACAGGAGTTTCTAAATAAACAGTTTCTTAGTTATGAAGTCCTCAAATATACTCCATCACAGACTTCATTACAGACAAATTACATATTACATATTACACATCACTTCTCTGAATGATGAAATCACTGACAGACACTCCAGAATTGAAAGAAACAATGAAAGAGTCGAATTGGAACAGGAAAATTTTTAACTTATCGAAGTCCACAACAAATCTTTGAAAAATGATTTGGAGGGTGTCGCGAATGCATTATTCATATCCAAAACATCTAATATTATCAAGTAGTTTTCGGTATTATTCAATGTTATTCCTGACACGAATTGCTGTATTGTGCAGAATTGATTCATAAATAATTGTTATACATTAGTATATTATGGATAAGCCTTTGTAATTTAGTTTGACTCGCCCTTATTTCCACTGCTATATGAATTCCAAATAATGCAATGATTCATAATTCTGAATATCGAAGCGGGCTGGGATACCAGAGTTTTTGGTGTTTCGTGATGTTTTTTCACTAGTTCGTGTGAATAGCTGCGTACTACAGGGTGTGATGATCATTACGGACAGAAGCCTCAATGATTGAAATCGATCATCCTCAAAGGTGAGTCGATCATTCCTTCAATTGAACTGAGTTGTACTCAAGAACAATTCTCACTTGAAGCCAGTGAAATTTCATCAAGGAACATCATGAATATACTGACTATATGTTTGCCATCGTCACAACAAATGTCCATGGATGAACGATGGAATTGATTTTATTCTATTTCCCAAAGCTATAATGTTTCAATGCGATTATCTTGCATCTTCACCATGCGAATATCAATGAAATACATCAAATGAGAATTATTTGAGCACTATGATGATTGCGTCTGCGATGATGCAGGAAGATATTATTCACCCCAATAGAAAATGTAGAAAACTCACCATGGAAAAATACATAGCACAAAAAACTCAATTGATAACTCACCCTTACTCTGCAACCTCTCGCAGACAAAATAATTGGGCGTTGAACAGTCTCTGTCATTCCACATGAAGGTAGTGGCTAGTCGATGCGAGGCGTGCGTTAGGGCGAACATTCGCCTTGCTTCGACACAATCTTGCTCGCTGAGACCGTCATCATTCGGCTGATGGTTGTAATTGCCGTACTCAGGCCATCCTGGGAACCAATCTGAAATGGAAAAAGATGGGATGACGAATTATTGTATAAGAAATAGCAGAATTCTAACATGAAAAATCGTTGTATTCATAATTAGTCGTCGTGATGTGATGTCATCTAGTGACTTCGGATCAAGAAGAGAATCATTGTTGCGGTGAATCACGTCAAATCTCTCTGATTTGATTTTCAGTATATTGTCTTCATATCCGTGCTTGAATTATACAGTGTCATTCATAAAGTTGGCATCATATGGGAAAAACTTTTATTAATGACTTGTTTTGAAATTCGAGTTGGACGTTGAGTTTTGCTTCAAACAAGATGAAAAATAGCCTACTCAATCGGGGTCACGTGACTTTCGCTACATGTCAAAAGTGACATTTTTTCAAAATAATCGCAGAAAGTAGGCTTATTTGTTCTAATATCGAAGAAGTTCACTTGAAAAAGTTGTTTCTATTCAAATTTTACATATGTGACTCGGATTTCATCTTTCTATTACATTTTTTAGATTTCGATATTTCTTTCAAATTTTCGAATTTTCTGTAATATCAAAAAAATCGTGAATTCGATAAAACTACTTCATACCAGTAGCTTCATCATGCTACTTGATTTCAATTACTAATTATCACTAATTATCGACAAACATATGTTTTTCTTCAGAAAATGATAATCTCCGCTTCAAAATTCTGTAATGTTTGATGCATGTTTGAGTCAAGCATTTAGAAACGAAATTCATTTAAATTCATTTTTCCAGTACTGAAATCATCGGTTTGAATGAATTTCGTTTCTAAATGCTTGACGATATATCAACTTTGCATCAAACATAACAGAATTTCGAAGCGGGTATCATCATTTTCTGAAGAAAATCATATTTCTGTCCATAATCAGTGATAATAAGTAATTGAAAGTAACTAGCATGAAAAAGCTACTGGTATGAAGTAGTTTCGTGGGATTAACAATTCTTCAAATATTACAGAAATTTCGAAAAATTTAAGAAAAAAATCAAAATCTAAAAGTTGCAATAGAAAGATCAAATTCGAGGAGCATGTGTAAAATTGAAATAGAAACAACTTTTTCAAGTAAACTTTTTCGATATTCGAACAAATAAGCCTAGTTTCAGCGATCACTTTGAAAAAATGTCACTTTTTGACATGTAGCGAAAGTCACGTGACCCCGATTGAGTAGGCCGTTTCTCATCTTTCTTGAAGCAAAACTTGACGTCCAACTCGAATTCCAAAGAAAGTCATTAATAAAAGTTCTTCCCATATGATGCCGACTTTATGAATGACACTGTATATGAATTATTATATCAGTTTCTGATAGACCTGTGCTCGTTCAGATTCATGACCCCAATAATATCAATCGAAAGCGGAATTTTTACCGCCAAAATCCCCCTTTAACTTGCCTAACAGAAAAGCGACGTTGTGAGATCTCGCTCGATTCAGAGGCAAACTAGCATTCGTTAACTTGACTTGTATACTGGCATAATGACAAACTCGGATAGAGGGTTAAAATTTATTCAAGGAGATATCTCGACCAGCCACGCTGAAATGAAGATTCGCATCGTATACACACTACTTCTACTGAAGATTTGAGATTAACAAAATAGTGTAGCACATCTGGACAAGAAAAATCGAAGGTATTGGTCTATTCGAGAGGGAAGGAAAAGTTGTCACTCAATTGTTGTACAAAGATTCCAGAGGATTGCTTGGTGTAAACTTTCATGAGAGTGATTTTGTTAACGTTCATCCACTAGGCAAGTCGTGCAATTGTCACATGGAGAATAAGTGTAAAAAATTGAAATAGGTCTTACTCACACCGACAAGAATTGAGAAGAAACATTCTGAGAAAACAATCCTTTATTGCCAAATAAAAGGGAATTCTTGAAAAATAATACGTAAGATGAAATGAACTCATTGTGACTAGAGCAATTCATGTGATTGTTGAATCAGAAGAAGATCTTCTTTTGGTAAACCAACCCAGCACTTTTTACCCCAACAGCTGAAAACAATTCAGAGTACTCATCGACATTGCAAGAAGTTTTTACTTTCATGGATTTAGGCTCCACTGAAAACCAGGAAATCAAAAACTCATTCGGTTTATAAGACTCATTGTTAATTTTTTCTGTTTCATTCACTGTTCACATTATTCATCGTGAAGTATTGATAATTTTTTGTTCTTGTCATTGGGATCAGGCTGTGTATCTTTGGCGTAATGAAGAAAAAAATATTGGTGTTTTATGCACTTGAATGTCAAATCTCTTTCAAGCGGCTTTGTTCATTTGCCGGAATATATTTCCAATTGGGATGTTGATATTGTTGCTTCAGGAGAAACATGTTTGAACAAGCGTGATAATTTCGACTCCTAAGCGATAACTAGTTATGAATTTTTGCATGTCGACAGAATAGAGCCTGAGGGAGTTGTATACAGAAAAAAATGATAGTTTAATTGTTTGATTGCATACTTATCATTAGCTGCATCAACTAGTTAGAGGATACAGTGGTGATTTTTGTTTCTGATGGCGACATATTCCTTATTCTAGATGATCTAGACATTGATTCAATGAAGCAGGATCAGAAGAGTGAGCTGTTTGCAATTTTTTCCCATTCCTACAATTCATTACTGTTCATTGATTCACCTACTAGAGTAAATAATGGCGTGAGGCAAATCATTATCGACTTGATTATAGTGAACAATCCAGATTCCATCACATCTGCCGAAGTTATAGACAAATACTTCGTCTCAATCTTCGGAATGAAAATACCGTTATGGTGAATTTGTAAACCTTCGCCATTTTTTGAGTAGAATATCATCTTTTTCAATCCAAATCTATATAGTATGATAACCTGAACCATAATTCAAATATAACATGAAACAGATGCTCAAACCCAAACAATCTCAACTTGGACCACTGGTGAAGCCCAAGGATCATCAGATGACCCGTTTATCACATCTTGTTTGATGATGTGGATGAACTTGTCTGGAATTATTGCTCTCTAGGCCTTTGGTCTCGAAACTCTATAATTAATCGATGTGGTATATCCTCTATCGATTTGGTGGTGACTCAAGATGTTTTTCCTACTTGTTTTTCCATTGGTAGGTATATAAATTAACCTATGGATTTACTCTGTTGATTCCTTCTTCAGTCTGTTCCAAACTTCGTTCTTCTGAGAATAATTATCACTGGGTAATCATTCATTGAAGCAAACAGGAACATGTTCGTTTGTTGACAAAAAAGTTTCACCAACTTGAATTGATCGTTCGAAATCCTCTTCAAGATTTTGAATTCTGTGATGACGGGTCTGCTTTCTGTTTCGAAGAATTCTGTATATGGGCTACTACTATATTGTATTGCTTCGTTTTCGTAGCAGAACGTCCTCTGCTGCATATTTGTGGCGATCATGTGGTGATCGATGCAAATGAGGCGATGTGCACGGATTCTTGAACAATTCATAATTGCGAGCACTTGAAGAGTTCGCCATTAGTATCTGATGCGAATTTCACGAAGTCCTCTTCACAAGGCTATGCGTGCGAATATCTCAAACAGCTCGTAGTCGCGAGCACTTGAAAACCTCGCCAAAAGCAATTGATGCGAATCTCCCAATGTACTCATCACAAAGCTATGTATGCGAATTTCTCAAACAGCTCATAATTGCGAGCACTTTCAGATCTCGCCACTGACGATTGATGTGTATATTTCGAAGTGCTCGCCTGAGGACATTGTATGAGAATTTTTGCGTAGAACATCTTTGAGACCTCGCTGAGCTCAGCCTAGGTTGCGGACATCTGGGGGAGATATAGCGGTTTTGAAGACCTCTCAAAGAAGTTATAGAAGGCATAACAACTTCCTAGGAGGATATCTTCAAGTGAGTAGTAATGATAAACTGTTTGAAGCTCATAAAACACAATTTACCCAGATAGCACAAATACCTTCTGAGGCCCTTCTGAGGCGTTCACAATTTTGTCCTCAGGACGTCGAGGGCGAGCTTGAAGACGTCCCTAGCTCGTCCTCCTGTTACCGTTCTCTACATCCTAATAACGTCTCAGAACATCCCTATAAGGTCCTCTGGGACATTTTAAGGGCATTATGGGAACATATTTTGGTAGTATTGAAAAATGTCTAGGGATAGGTTGATAAAAATGAAATTTTATTGAAGAAATATTTATATCATAATATTTGCGAAATTTCCCTGGAATAATGATATGTTCAAATAAAACTCACATCCTATTATTTATAACTTATTGGTGAAGATTTTCGAGTTTCGTTCTGAAGAAAATGTATATCAGCTTCTTGTTGAGCACTACTAGAAGTTATTGCCCATTGGTAATATTTCTCTATGTTGCTTTTGACTTCTCAACTCTGGATATGCTTCCTAATGCTGAATCTACTAAAAGTTGAAGCCTTCATACAATATTTTATAGATAATATCAAGTATGTGTTTTTCATAACCTTCTGGAACAAACAATGATTCGATATCTTATATCCATGTAATATATATGATTTGATCCATCTACCTTTGTTTCTTTTTGCCTCAGAGAAAAATCATCATCAACATAATAATACATTATAATGATTTTTGTTTTGTTCTATTTGTTCTAATTCTGTTGTAAGTTCTCTTCTTGTTATGTTGTTATCATTTGTGATTTCTGAACCCTGGACATACTATCATACAATCTTTTATAGATTAGGAAGGAGCCAGAATATCTTTGATTTGAACATGTCTGCTCTGATGATAGCATCAAAAGTTTGTGTTCTCAAAAACATTCTGAAATAAATTATGTATTAATATTTCATGTCCAGTACCTACCTATATACTATCAATTTTTTTATTCAGATACCAACCTTCATTGAATCTACTGAGAGTTCAAGCCTGCATACAATCTTTCATAGATTCCGAAGGAGCACAAATTTCTTGGAATGAAACATCTCTGCACTGATAATATGATATCAAGTTTGTGTTCTCTATAACTTCCTGAAACAAATAATGTATTGATATTTTATGTCCAGTAGGAAT